ACACACACACACACACACACACACTCTCTCTCTCTTTCTTTCTCTCTCTCTCTCCCTTCCCCCCCTCTCTCTCTCTCTCTGTCTCTCTCTCTCTCTCTCTCTCTCTCTCTCTCTCTCTCTCTCTCTCTCTGCTGCTCCTGCTCCTTGGTGGAATCGTGATGTATTTGTTTTTGTTGTTTGTTTTTGTTGTTTGTTTTTGTTGTTTGTTTTTGTTGTTTGTTTGTTGATGTTGGTGTTTTGTTGCTTGTTATACTTGTTGTTTGTTGTTGTTGTTGTTGTTGCTGTTCTTTCTGTTGTTGTTGTTGTTGTTGTTGTTGTTGTTGTTGTTGTTGTTGTTGTTGTTGTTGTTGTTGTTGTTCTTATTGATGATGTTATTATTGATGTTTGTTTTTGTTTCTGTTTGTTTTTGTGGTTGTCGTTGTTGTTGTTGCCTATGATGTAATTATTGTTGCTGTGTATTGTTGTTGTTGTTTCTGTTGTTGTTGTTGTTGTTGTTGCTATCTCAACTTGTATGCATGATAAATGGGTAATTTGTTGATCGAAAGCAAGGCAAATGTACAAGCTTTAAGTCCATACCAATAACTTGACATGCCCAAAAATTGACGAGTGCCTGATTACCACACGTCGTGAGTGACGTAAATAACTTAAATGGAATCGATTGAGACCTAAAACACTCCCCCCCCCCCTTTACTTCCACAGGCCGGCACGGTGTGCTCTGCCAACTTCATGACGGGCTACCCCGACCACGGGATCTGTTTCGAGGCCAACAACATGTACTTCAAGTCTCCGGGGGTCAAGGTCAGCCTGTGGACCACCAAGGACGGACCTGATGTGGTATTTATTATTTTTTTTATTATAGTAGAGGGTTTTACGGCGCTCACAACTGCATAAGGTCATATGAGCGCCAAGGTGTGGGTGTCAACAGAGACGTCTTTACACGGAATCAGACTTAAACTGCTCACCTCTCTAGCTTCAACAGCACAATGTCTGCTTCAACTATCAAGGCACCCCGGAAATAGCTGGTCACAAGAGAGTGACAAACATACTAAAGAAGTAGAGGGAAATGACAATAGTAAGGATTAGGAATTTAAAAAGCAACAATTCCCTGTTGTAGATAAGGCACAGTTATGAGCACGGCGTGACTTGAATCAGCCCATTTATATTTCTACTGTGCTTGAACAAGAAATGTCCCCCCCCCCCCTTTGGGAATGGCCTAAAGACACTACAGTCTGTGGACCACCAAGGACTGGCCTGATGTGGTATGTCATTCAAGCTACTACCATTTTGGACGAAGTCATTTTTTTTTACACTTCGGAGATAATTGAAAAAAAAACCCAACGGTCTCAGTAAGTGGAAGATGCGCTTTGATAGCCCAAAATTTTCAGATCTAAGTCTGACTTCAGCCAAAAAGGTATCAGCTTGACGATGTTTTGTCTCTGTCCGTCTGTCTTTCTGTCTGTCTTTCTGTCTGTCTATCTGCCTCTCATTCTTCCTCTCTTTAGGCCTCTATCTATCTATCTATCTATCTATCTATCTATCTATCTATCTATCTATCTATCTATCTATCTATCTATCTATCTATCTGAATCTGTTAAACCTTTGAGATGCCTGTGAATATTTATTGTGTAGATTTAGTCATCAAATACCACCCCTCCCCCTCTGTTATCCGTTCCCCGAAATTCCGTCTGTACAAAACCTCAATATTATTTGTGTATAACATAATAATAATATCATGTCATGAAAATAATTTGGTGTTAAGAACAGACAGATATTATATAGGTATTTGACCGAGTGGTGTACAGACATGATAGCTACATAGGTAGATAAGAAAACAGACGGACAGACAGACAGACAAACAACTAACAAATACACCTGTCCCGTGTAGGTATTTGATCGGTACCGCTACAAGAATTTCACAGAGTGAGGCATAGAAATAGCTAAATCTACACAAATTACCGAATTAAATATACCTGTCCCGCACAGGTATTTTACCGGTACGACTACAAAATCTTCACCAAGTGGCGCACGGACAGACAGACAGACAAACAACTAATAAATTATATACACCTGTCCCGCAGATGTTTTGACTGGTAGGCCTACCACTACAAAAACTTCACCGAGTGGTGTACGTGTACATTACTAAATCTACACAAATAACAAAATATACCTGTCCCATGTAGGTATTTGACTGGTACCATTTCAAGAACTTCACTGAGTAGTGCATAGATAAACAAACTGACGGACAGACAGACAGCAAACAACTAACAAATATACCTGTCTCGTGTAGGTATTTGTATTTGACCGCTACCACTGCAAGAACTTCACTGAGTAGTGCATAGATAAACAAACTGACGGACAGACAGACAGCAAACAACTAACAAATATACCTGTCTCGTGTAGGTATTTGTATTTGACCGCTACCACTGCAAGAACTTCACTGAGTAGTGCATAGACATGATAGCTACATAGGTAGATAGACAAACAGACATACAGACAGACAAACAAATAACCAAATCTACCTGTCCTGAGCAGGTATTTGACCGGTACCACTACAAGAACTTCACCGAGTGGTGCACGGACATGCGAGTGGTCACTCTGGAGGTGACCGTGCCGGATTACGTCACAGACCAGAACGCAGAGTTCCGGTTCAGCTTCTCGGTCAAGAACAAAACAAAGACGGACATCGCCAAGATTTGTGAGTTGGTGATTTCTGGCTTGGAGTGTTTGTTTGTTTGTTTGTTTGCTTTCATTACTTTATGATGATGCTGTTGTTGTTGCTTTTGTTGTTGTTGTTGTTGTTGTTGTTGTTGTTGTTGTTGTTGTGTGTGTGGTAGCCTATCCGTTCGAGGTGTTTGGAGCCCCGAAGAGCGTTCTCTTCGCCAGGGCCATCGCCTCTCTTGGGTAGCGGGTGAGGCAGTCCAACCTCCCTGAATCCTCCCCAATTCAAAGAGATGCCACCGCCTTTGTTGTTGTTGTTGTTTTTGTAATGCTTGGTGGTGGCGATGGTGGTGGCCATTTTTGACACCGACTCTGTTGTGTAGCATTAAGGTTCTTCTCCGCCACTCGTAAGAGATGAGAGTTCGACTCCTGACTAGTGAAGTGTAGTTCATTTTGTTGTTTTTTGTCCCGTGTCCTGATTTTGGTGCCTATAGTTGTAGGTTACGTAAAATTTAATGACGTGTTGCAAATTGGTATGTTTCAAGAAAAAAAGAAACAAAGAAAAATACAACAAGAAAAAAAGGAATTGTTTTGATCGGTGGTGGTGGTGATGATGATGGTGATGATGATGATGATGATGATGATGATGATGATGATGATGATGATGATGATGATGATGATGATGATGATGATGAAGTTTAGTTATTTTTAAATTATTTATTTAAATTCTTATTTTATTTCATGTTTATTTTATATTTTACCTGATTATTATTGTTCAACATTTTATTTATTTATTTATTTTTTGGCGGGTGGGTGATTGGCGGTGGATCTTGCTCGTCGTTGTTGTTGTTTTGTATTTTCAAATAGAATAATATTATTATCTCCCTCTGTCTGAATGGACGGTGTATTCAGACTGGGGTGACCCTGATAGTGAAGATCGTAGCAGTCCGCCAACTAAAAGATAAAACAAGAAAAGATAAGATAAGATACAACTTCTCCTAAGATAAGACAAGATAAGATACATCTTTATTGATATTGTCCAGATCCTGGCACATTGGTTTGGTGTTTCACCACATACACACACACAAACAAAATGCACACACACGCAGGCTTATAGTCACATGGATAATATAAATTATGAACAGTAATAATATAAACAATAACAATGTTAGGCTAGATACATACTCAGTATTCTGATTGTAACTAAATTATCTAAAATGTGTCGATTGTGGTGTATAACACTCACAGTAACATTCTTTTCTAAAAAGTTGATATCTTGTTTCGTTCTCTTTGAGTAAAAGGAAAAGAGTCGGCCACGTAAATCAGTATGATGTATGAAGTCAAAGTGTTTAGATTGGGCGGTTGGGGGTGCTCTGGTGTGGTTTGCTCCTTCTTTCCTATCAAACATCTATCGTCCTCATCTCTCCTCCTTCTTTTTTGTGTTTGTTACTCCCTTGTAACATCTCTAAAAATCGGCACTTATAACCTTATTGTGTTGCAAGTGCCGTAAAACTCTTACGAAAAAAAAAACGTTTTTAGAAGGAAGCACGGTCTGTATTTTGAAGTTGTTACACGAAGCCAGGGGTTATTTCGGTGAAACATTCAATCGGTCTTCTCAAGCAGGCATCAAGATTAACTCCCTCACTTCACAAAGATACGGGTGCGACGATGAGCCAACAGATTAATGTACATAATACGATATAACACTGGCTCTAATTTAGAGCAACGATATTCATTGTAGCGGCATTTTCGCCTTCTTGACTGAATAGAACTTACAGAATGAAGAAAACAAAACATTAATTGATAAAACAAACTGGATGAAGATAAGTCAAGATGCTTGTGTATGTGTCTGCGTTTGTGTATGTGTGTACGTCTGTAAATGTGTGTGTGTGTGTGTGTGTGT